TCTATCTATCTATCTATCTATCTATCTATCTATCTATCTATCTATCTTCGAAGCAGGGTTTCTTTGTGTAGGTCTGGCTGTCTTGGAACTTGCTTTGTAGACTAGACTGGTCTCTGACTCAGAGAGCCTTCTGCCTCTGCCTTCTGAGTGCTAGGACTAAAGGTGTGTGGCACCCCCACTCAGTCAAATTTAGTTTTTTTTAAACTCATGTTAGCACTTTTTTGAGTGAACTGGCTTCTCAGCTCTGCTTTTACTTAGCTGGAGGTGATACACGTAACAAAGCAAAAGCGTGACCGCACTCCAAGTGTAATTTTCAACTTAGTTTTTTATTCCACTCTACCAGTAGATTTGTACAAAAAGGTTTTTTTTTTTTTTAAAAAATTGCTTTTATAGAGCTATATATTTTTCTCCACTCTCCTCTCTCCCTCTCCCCTCTCCTTCTACTCTCTCCCATGGTCCCCATGCTCCCAGTTTATTCAGGAGATCTACAAGAACATTTTTAATGGTTATATTTTAAATGGATTCCATTTGGCTGGTGGAGCTAGTCATCAGTCTAATAGTTATTCATCTTTTTGTGTTCGGTATTATTTGTCATATAGCACCATGTCTGGATGAATAGACTGGGTTTCTGACTTCACGGATTTTCTTTCTAGTCCCGATCTGGTTCTCTTAGGCTCCACGACTTCTGGGTCTTAGCACTCTGTTTGATTATCTGTTTCTAACTGAGATCTATTTCTCAATTGATTTCTCTGCGTGTATGTTTGCTGGCTTGGATGAACCTACTGAGACTTCAAAGATTTTTCCAGCCACTACCCTCCTTGACCTACAACAGGTAGAGCAAGATAAACTTTTCTTTAATTCTTAATCTGTTATCAGCATTAACGTTTAAACAGGAAGCCAGAAAGCTAAAAGGCCCTGTGAATCTTGGATGTAGTCAAAACAGCGAAGGTAACTCTGGAAGACCAGTGGCTCTGAGGGCCCTGCGATGCTTCGCACAAATTGACTAATTGAATTCCAAATGCTTCCTGGGTACCAGACCCTGTTACGTGCTACAGATCCTGTAGAGAACAAACAACAAGGTTACCTGGACTGTCGCCCTCGGTTGTAAGAGGAGGAACAAGACCGTCAATTAGTAAAAGGAAGTAAGCAGTAGAGGGGGGAGAGCTGTGGGGGAAAAATACAGAACAGAGGGAGCTGTGGAGTGTCAGGGGGAAGGGCAGCTTTACAAAGGAAAATAAAGTGTTTAGGGGACATTGTTTTCTCTGAACTGCCCCAAAGTGAATTTAATCATGATGACAGCCTCCTCGTTCATAAATCAAGTGACTGCAGGACAAGAGTAACAGACCCACAAAGGGGACATAGGCAACTAGATACAAAGGAACTGGACACATTTCTCAGCTACAAAGAATAGAGCAGTCAGATCGCAGATTTTGCAAATAGCCTACAACTAATAATGAAGAAGATAATCTCTCAGTTGTGTCTTCACCATCCTCCTTTAATCGGTTATATCTGAGGTAGTTGTACTAATAGTTGCTAATAGTTGTACCTGACCATTATACTTAGAAGAAACACCTAGATATGCTAGCAAAAGTTTAACTGACTGGAGTCTTGGGATTGGATAGAGGCCAATGGTGTGGTTCCACCCCAGGCATAACTCATGGGGTGGGGGTGGGGGCTAAAGCCATTTTGTGCCGAGCTGAACGGATACCTTTATTCACAGCCAAATCACCGGCATCTTCTTGGCAATAGTACCAGCTGCCAGGCTTGCTTTACAGAGGTGGTGCAGGCTGGCAAGTGGTACGAAGGTGTGCCTTGTATCATCAACAAGCTCCCAGGGAGACTGCAGGTATACCCAGGGTGAATCAGTGAGCCCTTCGGCAGTTTTTGACGAGCAGACCTGTAATTGTTTCGCGTTTCTGCTGTTACAGAAGCACTGGGCACTTTTTGTACATCTCTTCCACACTTAACTAATTATTTTCTCTGAGCAGATACTTGAGGTAGGGATTACTGCGTGAGAAAGCATTTGAATTTCTGAGGTTAAGGCATTCCTCCAAGTTTAAGGTGCACAAGAAGCATTTTGGGGTCTTGTTAATAAACAGGGTGGGGGGCCTGGATTGTTTCTAACAAGCTTCCTGGTGACTCCCGGAGTGTCCTTTGGAGTTGTAACCACATTTTGAATTGTAACTTTCTAATACCTATATTCAAGCTGCCTCCCAGGAAGCAGATGTATTTTAACAGTTTTTTTTATAGTTACAAAGTGTTCTGAATTGTAAAAAAAATACTTTCCCTTACATTAATTCCTTTTACTAGCCCAGGTCTACAGGCTTTACCATCCACCCCTACTTTATAGAAGTGGAAATATACTCCCTATGACTAGGGAGTTTAAGAAGAGCCAGGAGAGCAGTAAGTTCTTAAAAGCACTATCACATTAGAAGTTCCCCGGAAATGTTGCGTTTAGCCAAGATGGTTTATTTGCAATTCCCTAGTCAAGAAAGCTGATGAACGGACAAGCTCACACAAGGCAGTTTTAGGTAAGGCGAAGGTCTACCCAGGATGGCAAGTATGTATGCTCCAGAAAAACTGAGTTTACTCTGGTCTAAGGAAGAACTTTCTGGTTCACAATACTGTATGAGAGGTGTTCTGTAAGGGGAGAATTCTCTATACTGCACAGACTCAAGCCGATCAGCCGATCAGCTCTTCGCAGGTCAGAGGGGACTGCAGGCATGTGAGTGGGAGATAAGTGACTAACCCTACGGCTGAGAGCAGAAATCTTGCTCTCATCAGTCAATGATCAAAACGCAAAGAATCTGGGGGATGCTATTGATTGGAAAGTGCCCTGGATATTGTGGGGGCTAAGAGGTTCTTTTCACAGATCCCCGTGGTCAGGAGGCCTGGAATGACCCTTGAAGCGTTCGTGGGAGAGTCCACAACCCCTTCTCTGACAACTGTGAGGAGAATGTACTTATCAGCCATCTCTTTTCCTCTTCTTTGTTTTTGACTATCTGTTATTTATTTAAACGAAATATTCGAACAGAGTTCTCCTGGCTGAGAAGCCAAGAACTGGGAGGACAGGTTCTCTCAGTAAATCACGTTAGATCTTGGATGAACCACAAATCAAACTAGTTTTTCTGTAGGTGAGGTGGCGCATCCGTGTTTGCTGCACTATGCCTGTAGACCCACTGCTTCCTGTATGCCCTGTATTATCTGGGGCAGGAGCTGAAAGAAACAATCTCTCTGGAGCTTTGGGATCAAGGGAATGAACTGAGCAAGCTGTTTGATTGCTTTTGACACTTCATCAGAGTGTCACGAGAGACCTCCGACAGCGCTGACAAGTATCGCGGCTCCGAGATCCCTGAATCAGGGAAGCATTCCGAGCCCAGGTTTAGAAAGCAGATACAATTTAAGATATCATATATTCCTCTAGTTTTAAGTCTAAAACTCAGTGGTTTTTGCTAAATTCACAGCTGCGGAATAACCACTAAACCAATTTTAGAACTCTTTCATACCCCTCAGCTCAAGAACTTCCGTGTCTATTAGCAGTCAGCTCTAATTTCCCACCAGCCCTAGGAACTTCTTTCTTTCTTTCTTTCTTTCTTTCTTTCTTTCTTTCTTTCTTTCTTTCTTTCTTTCTTCCCCCCCCCTCTTTCTTTTTGTTGAGACAAGGTCTCATTCTGTAGCCCTGACTGGACTAGATTCATTAGAGTAGGTTAGCTTTGAACTCACAGAGAGAGATCTGTTTGCATCTGACCTGGGATTCAAGGTGTGCACCATTGCACCTGGCTAGATAGCCTATTTTGAGCTTTCTATAACTGCCTCATAAAATTCATGCTTTTTGGTGTCTGGCTCTTTTCTCTTACAATGTTTTCGAGGTTCACCCATTTGTAGTATGTATTAAGGCTACACTGATTTTTTGAATAGTTTATTATTATATGGATAGTATATTTTTATTTATTCATTCAATAATTGATAGACTTTGGGGGAGTTTCTATACCTTGCCTATAATGAACAATGCTGTTATATATATGTATTTGTGTAAATTTTTTTGTGGTTGTATATTTTTATTTTCATTGGATATATATCTTGGAGCAGAATTGCTGAATCGTATTGTAACTCTATGGTTGACATTTAAGAAACTTCCAAGATGTT